GTTGATGTATGAGGGTAGATTTATTGCTTATGCTTCTCATCAGTTGAAGCCCCATGAGAAGAATTACCCTGTTCATGATTTGGAGTTGGCTGCCATTGTTCACGCGTTGAAGATTTGGTGGCATTATTTGTATGGTTTGTCTTGTGAGGTGTTTACTGATCATCGTAGCCTCTAGCATTTTTTCAAGCAGAACGATCTCAATTTGAGGCAGCGGAGATGGTTGGAGTTGCTAAAGGATTATGATATTACCATTTTGTACCATCCGGGGAAGGCCAATGTGGTGGTCGATGCTTTGAGCTGGAAGGCGGTGAGTATGGGGAGTTTGGCATATATTCTAGTTGGGGAGAGACCTCTTGCACTTGATGTTCAGGCCTTGGCCAATCGGTTCGTGAGGTTGGATATTTCGGAGCCCAGTCAGGTATTACCTTGTGTTATTTCTCGGTCTTCCTTATTTGATCGCATCAAAGAGCGCCAATATGATGATCCTCATTTTCATGTCCTCAAGGACATAGTTCATCACGATGATGCCAGAGATGTGACTAATGGTGATGATTGGGTATTGAGGATGTAGGGCCGGATATGTGTGCGCAATATGGATGGGCTTCAGGAGTTGATTCTAGAGGAGGGCCATAGCTTGCGGTATTCCATTCACCCGGGTGCCGCAAAGATGTATCAGGATCTGAGACAACATTATTGGTGGATGGGAATGAAGAAGGACATTGTAGGATTTGTAGCTCGGTGTCTCAATTGTCAGCAGGTGAAATATGAGAATCAAAGACCGGGTGGCTTGCTTCAGTAGATAGATATTCCAGAGTCAAAATGGGAATGGATCACCATGGACTTTGTAGTTGGGTTCCCATGGACTTTGAAGAAGTTGGATGCTATTTGGGTGATTGTGGATCGGCTAACCAAGTTCGCGCACTTCATTCCTGTGTGTACTAGCTATTCTTCAGAGCGGTTGGCAGAGATATATAATCGGGAGGTTGTTCGTTTGCATGGTGTCCTAGTTTCCATCATTTCAGATAGAGGTACTCAGTTTACTTTGCAGTTTTGGGGAGCCGTGCAGAGAGAATTGGGTACTCAGGTTGAGTTGAGCACAACTACTCACCCTCAGATGGATGGGCAGTCCGAGCGCACTATTCAGATATTGGAGGACATGTTGCGCGCTTGTGTCATTGATTTTGGAGGGGCATGGGATCAGTTTTTACCACTCGCAGAGTTTGCTTATAACAACAGTTACCAGTTGAGTATTCAGAAGGCTCCATATGAGGCTTTGTATGGCGGTGTAGATCTCCGGTCGGTTGGTTTTAGTAGGGTGAGGCTAGGCTTTTGGGTATAGACTTGGTGCAGGATGCTTTAGACAAGGTGAAGGTGATCCAGGAGCGGTTCCGTACAGCGTAGTCGAGAAAAAAGAGTTATGCTGACAGGAAGGTTCGGGATGCATCCTACATGGTTGGTGAGTAGGTTCTGTTGAAGGTTTCACCCATGAAGGGTGTTATGAGATTTGGGAAGAAGGTTAAATTGAGTCCTCAGTTCATTGGGCTTTTTGAGGTGCTTCGGAGGATTGGGGAGGTGGCTTATGAGCTTGCTTTTCCACCCAGCTTATCGAGTTTGCATCCGGTATTTCATGTTTCTATACTCCGGAAGTATATTGGTGATCCGTCTCATGTTTTGGATTTTAGCACGGTCCAGTTAGATGATGATTTGACTTATGATATGGAGCAAGTAGCTATTTTGGAGCGTCAGGTTCGAAAGTTGAGGTCAAAGGATATAGCTTTAGTGGAAGTGTAGTGGAGAGGTCCGCCTGTGGAGGAGGCTACCTGGGAGATCGAGCAGGAGATGAGGAGAAAATATCCTCACCTATTTGAGACTTCAGGTATGTTTCTTGACCCGTTCGAGAACGGACATTTGTTTATGAGGGGGAGGAGGTAATGACACGACCGGTCATTTCATGAGTTACCGCTCTGTTTCCCCCAATTTTGCTTTTTTATGTCTATGTGGTATCAGGTTGGTTGGCTCGAGTTCGGAGAGGTTTTGTAAAGGAATGAGACACCTAGTCTCTGTTGGGTAAGCTTAGGTTGGAAAAGTCAACCAGATGTTGACTTATGTGAAAAAGGGCTCGGATGTGAATTTCGATGGTTCAGATATCTTTGTGAGGTGATTTGGGACTTAGGAGCGTGATCGGAATGTGTTTTGGAGGTTCGAAGTAGATTTAGGCTTGAATTGGCAAAATTGGAATTTTGGCATTTTCTGGTTGATAAGTGAGATTTTGATATAGGTGTCAGAATGGAATTCCAAAATTTGGAGTAGGTCTGTTGTCTCATTCGTGACGTGTGTGCAAAATTTCAGGTTATTCGGATGAGGTTTGCCAAATTTTTTGATCAAAAGCGGGATTTGGAAGTTTTTGGAATTCTTAGGCTTGAATCCGATGATGATTTGTTGTTTTGATGTTGTTTTGAGCATTCCGAGGGTTGGAACAAGTTTGAAGGTTGTTATGGGATATGTTGGCATGTTTGGTTGAGGTCTCGAGGGCCTCGGGTGAGTTTTGGGTGGTTGAACAGATCAAATCTTGTTGTGGGAAGTTGCAGAAAATCTACTGTCGGTGTTGCAGACATTTGGCCTTCGCGTTCGCGAAGGGTTAGGTTCAGTGTTCATCACGAACGTGATGAGTTTCCCGCATTCGCGTAGAGTAGATGGGAACAACTGGGTCCAGGTTCATTTGCGCTTTGCATTCACGAGCTAGAGGCCGCGTTCGCGATGGGTTGAGGAGCGGAAGCTTCGCTTTCGCATTCAGGATGTCGCGTTCGCAAAGAAGGATTTATGTGGTCAACATTTTTGTGCTTCGCGAATGCGAGGCTTTGACCGTGTTCGCGAATAAGGAAAGGGTCACTTGGGCAGAATGTTTTAATAGCCATTGTCTTTAATTTTGGGTCTAACTTTTACCATTTTTGAGTGATTTTGGATCTTTTTGTGAAGGATTGAAGAGGGAATCAAGGGGAAACACCTGGAGGTAAGATTTATGGACTTAATACTCGATCTTATTATGATTTCTACCTAATTAAACATGGAATTTGTGGAATCTATAGCTTAAGATTTGGGGAGTTAGGGCATGGAATTTGAGACTTTGATTTGAGGATATGAGGGTTCGTTTGTGGTCGGATTTTGATGTATTTGATATGCATGAACTCGTGGGAGTGTAAAGATTCTAGTTTTGTAATTTCTATCGGAATTCGAGACATGGGCCCGAGGGTCAGGTTTGGCCAATTTTGGTATTTTGATGTAAATTGGTTATTTTCGAGTGGGCTTTATTCCCTTAGCATATTTTGATGGTATAAATATGTTTTTGGTTAGATTTGGAGCATCCGGAGGCCGATTCGAAAGGCAAAGGCATAGCGGGCTAGAGTTTGGACCGGATATAGGTAAGTAATGATTGTAAATGTTGTCCTGAAGGTATGAAACCCCGGATTTCACATTGTTGTGCTACTTTGAGTTGACGCACATGCTAGATGACCAACGTGGGGTTGTGCACCATTGGGGATTGTGACTTAGTCCGTACCATGTGACTGTTAAATTGCGTATTTAATTAAAAACTGTTTGATATCATTGTGTTTTGGGCTGAATGCCATATTTGGGCCTCGTATCAACTGTTTGGACCTTTAGAGAGATTTTTACTACTATTCCTTACTGTTTTGACTTCATATTGGTACTCATTCATGTTGTATTCTACTATTTTCATAACTCAACCATATTTACTCTGTTTTGATATTTTAAATGATATTTTAGGCTGAGCATCTTGTTTTACTGTTGCTCGAGTGGCTTGAAAGATTTCTGACTGAGTGAGGCCAAGGGCTTGTGTTGTAAGGATATTATGAGATCGGGTTGCATGCTGCAGCAATGTTGTACTGATTCATGATTATGAGGCCGAGGGCTGGATTTGTTACGCCACGTGGTGGCTTGTTATGAGGCCGAGGGCCAGTTGATTAAGGCACGATATGGATTGATATAGCGCTTGGGTTGTAGGAGCCCCTCCAGAGTCTGCACACCCCCAGTGAGCGTGGATACCTAGTGTGAGATGTGATATTGCCCGAGGGGCTGTTGTTGTTTCATGTTATTGCCCGAAGGGCTGATATGAGTAATTGTGAGGTAGCCCGAGGGGCTGGTTCTGATGGTATTATGCCCGAGGGGTGTTTATGGTACTTGTTTTGCCCGAGGGACTGATTTATGTTTCTATCATTTTCTCACTGTTTTCATCACTCATTTGAACTACTAAAGATGTTTTAAAAAGGTTTTTACTGAACTGAGGTATTTTTATGAGTTTTACTATTCTACTGCATTGTTCTGGATTTATACTGTTTTGTTGTAGCATTATGTTGTGTTTTACATGTTTTCTTACTGTTCAACTGCCTTTACTTTTATTACTTACTGAGTTGGTATACTCACATTACTCCTTGCACCCTGTGTGTAGATCCGGGATTTTCGGGTCACGCTAGCGAGTGCTGATTTGTCATCCAGCAGGCTTTTGGAGTTGACTAGGTAGCTGCTTGGCGTTCGCAGCCCAATGCTCCTTCTTCATATCTTCATTTCACTTTGTACTAGCTTTGTATCAGACTATGTTGTCTTTTCATATTCCTAGGCGAGTTATAGATGCTCATGCTGGTGACACCCCGATGTCGGGCTGTATTTTGTTTTTCGCACTGTATTATCCTACCTTATACTATGGGATTTTATCTTATTAATGTCTTTAAATGACTTACTATAATGTTTTGGTTAGTTTTGGGGTTTGTGTCGGTTGGACAAGTTTCACGATAGGTGCCATCACGACCGGTTCCGTTTTAGGGTCGTGACACTCCTAGTTTTCAATCCATACCCCACTTCCACTTTTGATCCTCTTCAGTTGCAATTTCTTTCTTTTGCCATTGACATGATTGTGAAAGAAACTTGTATTCCTATCTCCTTCAGCAAAGAAAGTCATCCCAGCTTTTTGCTTCCAGTACTGCTCCTCAATACTCAAGTTTTTTTTTCAATTCAAATTGAGCCTTTTGAAGCACAACCGTGTTCTCAATTGTGGGCTGTTCTTCAAACAACATCTCTTTCACCCTAACAATGTCCTCCAAAATAGCCAACTGGTTGAAGATATCACCAACTGTTTCGATACTCCATCTTGATAGTGGTGCCTTCACCTTCTCGAGCTTCTGCTTGAACATAAAAAATGGATCCCCTATAAAATCGGCTTCCCAATTCTACCTCACCACATCCATAATGTAGCATGTTTAGTCCAAAAGTTCAAGAACCAGAAAGGCTTGACAAAATTGGTGGTCTTCTCCCCACATGTCATTAACAATAGTGCATGATCTGATCCAGTTCTGATTATATGTTCAACTTCAATAGTTGGCAACATGTTTTGAAATGTCAAATTCACAAAGATCCTATCCAATATTTTGAATATACACATAGCATTAGATTTTCCATTCCACCATGCAAATGGACTTCCTTTGTATCCTTGTTCAAACAAATCACAAGAGTTTACAAAAAATGCAAAATCCTTATATTCAGGAGGGTGTACTGGTAGTCCTCCTATTTTCTCATCTTCATGAAATATCACATTGAAATCCCCTCCTACTAGCCATGGAAATTTCATATCACTTTCTAAGTAATACAAGTGATCCCACAATCCCAACCTCTCCACTGCTGAACATTTTGCATAAATAAATGTCATCAACATGTGCTGACCCAGGTCATGGTGAAACACTCTTATAGTCACCTGTTGCTCAGTATCCTCCACTAATTCCCATTCCACCACTGCATCAAAGAAAAACCATATTTGCCCATTAATATTTGCACAAGCAGTCTCCATACTCAACCTTCTTCTATGTCTATCAATGAGTCTCTTCTTTTGAAAAGGCTCCATTAATGCAACTACACAAAAGTTATGCTCCCTATTCATGTTGATCACCCTAGGAAAGGCCTTTTGTGTATTCACAGACCTTATGTTCCATATTATTTTTTTGATCATCATTTATATAGAGAAGTTGCCCTCCTGGGCATAATTCGTGAAGGTTGTTGTGGCTCTTTATTCTGATTCTTCTTTGTTTCTTACCTCCTTTAGCACTAGCGGTAGGTGATAGATCCCCATCCCTAACCATATGTTTGAAGTTTTATACTATTGATTCATCATCTCCCTCATCCTCTATAGGATTTTGTCTCATTAAGTCTTCATCAATTAGTGCCACATTGTGTGTAACTAAATCATGTAAATGTTGTAGTGGAGTCTTCAGTGGAACATTAAGATGCAGCTGCATAATTTGATCAGTGCCATATTCCATAGGCATTTCTTCTATTTCCCATACGCTCTTGGAACAATTGTCTGCTCATTAGCCTTTTCATTGCTATTCACCATAGAAGAAGCAATAGCCTGCATCATTTTGAATTGATGCTCATATACACTGCCTAGCCCAGGAATTACTGTTGTAGTCTGCTCAAAAATGTCTGTTCTATTGATATCACCACCTTTTCCATTGCCTGTGCTTTGGTATGACCCTACTATATCATCCTAACCTTCACATTATCATCAAATTTGTTCTCCAATGCATACACCAGAACACCATCTACATAGGCAAAAATCTTTCCAGTTGCTCTAGGGATAAGGTTTAATGTCGTTGCTTCATCAGGTGATCCTGACGCCTGGACTGACATTGCCAGCTTATCGCCTGAGGTACCTGGCTTTAGGCCTTGCGTCGCCAGCCAATTTCCTGGGGAGCCTAGCTTTAGGCCTGCCGTCGCCAGCCTATCGCTAGGTGGGCTGCTATCACTCACTTTGTCTCCTGTTGTCTTTGTCGTGCCTAGTTGATCATCCTCTACCTCAATTGCACCACTCCGCAAAACATTTGTTGAATTTACCCCATCAATGTCCTCAAGCTGCCAAGAATCTGCAAATGTTTAAGACAGAATATCTTGACATGATTGGTTTGTAGTCACATTGAGTTGCCTTAGCTCCTCTTTGCTAGTTCCAAACCTTCTATGAACCTAGTCGATTGTGGATTCCTTATAAGCCTTTTCATCAGTACTTTGATCACTAGGAACAATAGGATTAGCCTTAGCTAAGTTCCTATTATGCTGATCTTCTATCACTTTCTCAACTGCTTCCTTCTTCACACGCTTAAGTTCCTATTGATTGCCTTCTCCAGCTGGCTTAACATTAGCATCTTCCCCAACCTTAACCCTGGAAGCCTTAAGATTGGGGCTTGACACTCCGGTATTGCCTTCCTTTTCCTTCTCATGTCCCTTCTGGGATTGCTTTTCCCCATGTTCCTTCTTCTTACCATTGCTATGATCCTCACATTTGCCTTCAGTAATTTGTAGAGTAGGTTGATGAACTTTCTCAACCTCTAGTGCATTAAACTTGTTATTGGTTGCTACTTCCTCAAGTTTGGCCTTCCCTTTACCCTTGTCAGCTTCCTTACCTTGTTTATTATTAACAATGTGACCCCTATTATCCCGTTGGTATTTGTTCTTCCGTGCTTGTATCCATTCCTGCTTGGAATGATTGGTAGAAGGCTTACCAACCACCTTTCCACTTGAAAGAACCTTTGTTGAATTTGCAGTTGTAAAAAAAAACATCAGTGCTTACCATAACTGTCTTCTCCTTGCCTTGAACCTCAACATCTTCATCAAATCTCTTGTGTAATTCAGGATGAATTACCCAGCATTCTGGCTCACTATGCCCTTTTTTCTTGCAAAGCTTGCAATATTTTGGCATATAATCATACTTAATCCTAATCGGTTTAAACTCTTCTAGCCCAGATTCATCAGCTTCTTCCACAATCTTAATACGTTGAAGGAACTTACCTAACAAGTTAACTTCCACCTTCACCTTAGCACAACTAGGTCTAGTCCCATTTTGAGTTGCGAAGTTTATATGTAAAGGATTACCAACAACATGAGCTAATGAAAATACACATTCCTTACCAAAGAATTTTGGAGGAAGTTCTGGAAAGCTAATCCAAGCTATGGCAATTGGAGTCTCTTCATCAGGTGACTACCATGGATTCCATTTTGTACAACGCATCTGCCACATGTCTGATTGAGCCTTTAAACAAAAAGCTGGTTTTGACAGAAGATGAACATAATCCTCCAATAACAGCTGCCTAATCAACACATGATTATCTTCAATTAAACCAATTGAACAATGACCTTTAATCTCACATTGAATTGGAATCACTTTACGTAATTCACCAATAATAGGCTTCCCATATTAAAATTTCCAAGAACTGCAAGTTGAAGTCCTTATGTACGATGGATTGCTTCACTTCTTGTTTTTTCCACTTCACAACTGGTTCTCCATGAAGGAACTCAACTGGTTTCAATGGTAGCATAGCTAGGGTTTGCATATGCGTATTTATGATAGTAGGGTTTAATAAATTTGCATAAGATTTAGGTGGATTAGGGTTTGTAGAGGTTAGTAACGGCTGAGTGGGGGAGGAAGATGACAAACCAACTTTGGGAGGAGGCTGGCCACTAGCCGTGGAGGCCATGAAGGGCAGTCGCCGTCGTGCACTTTTAGGAGAGAGAAGAGATCTTTTAATTCAAAGATATCTCAAAGAAGTCTACTATTATACGAGTTTCATACTTGTAAATCTATGAGAAACGGCTCAAGGGCCAAAACGCAAATACACCTCGAATACTCGGGGACTGTCATCGACTGTCAACACATTCAAATAACTAAAACTCAAATTTATAAGTCATCAAAGAGGCGTCCCCCAATGCAAAGGCCAAGGCCATCATACACGAGGACTAACTTTTTGGACAAGTTCGAAAGGTTATCGCGAAACAAATCTAAGAGACGCACCCGAAGGCTACAACCGTATTAAAGACTATGGTTATATAAAAAGTCTAAGGCCGAAATAATGCGGTTCGGAGATGTCCCACTTCTGCCATAAGTTAAAGGCCTTCTAATACTTTGAAATATTGGTTAAATAAGTCTACCCTCGGCAAAGCAAATAAAGAAGGGCTTCGATAAAATCAGCCCCTTGAATAATTTAAAGGCTTTGATAATATCAGCCTTCCGATCAATTGGACCCTCAAAAAATCCAACGTGTACAAAAAACACATGCTAAGGCATAAAGAAATTTTCACTAAGTCTTTTAGCCGAAAAGAGGGAAAAATTTTAGTCGTTCGAGTGGCCGAATTGGCCCAACTTAAAGAGCCTAAGGGCCAACCGAAAAAGAGCCTAAGGCCTATTTGGTAAGCCTAAAAGGTCCATACAATTAGAATTCGAGACCTCGCTCTCACTTAATTCGAACCCAAGGGTTCGATTATCCCAAACCTAAATGAATAATGGTTTGATAATGGATCGGGGACTCACTATTACTTGGTATAAGCCCTTAAAGCTCTATGCCCAAAATCTCGAACTTATTTGAGCTCGACCATGGCAGTTGCGAAGAAAACATCTGAGATAAAATCTCTAATACATAAATAAAGAGGATGAATTCATTGCATAAATTTTACAAGGCAGGAAATATCAAAATTCTTCTTTTATGTATGTTGAAAAAGATATCTACAAAGGACTGATAAAAGGGTCATACAAAAAAAAACAATACAAGAATAAAGGAAAATCCAATCTATGCCCAAGGATGGTCTCTCCCTTGGGTGCAGCTTCTCCTTCTGGCCCAGCTTCATCAACGGACCCGTTTTGGCTACCTTCATCATCGTCATTGTTGGAGGAGGAGACGATGAACTTGGCATCGACCTCGAGTGCTTTTTATTGGGCTATCTCCTCGGTGAGGTCAAAACCTCGAGCATGGATCTTTACGAGGGTATCCCTCTGGGATCCACACTTGGCCAAATCACTGACCCGTTTCACTTGGTTGGAGGCTTCCCTTAGTTCCAATTAAGCATCCTTGCCATACTTTAGGTACACAACAATTATCTTGTCAGTCGTGGCCTTCGTTCTCTTGATCTGGGCCATAACTTCAGCAACCTCAGCCCCAGTTGCATCAAGTTTGGCCTCGAGCTCATCGATATTCTTGGCCTGGGCCACATTTTTTACTTTGACTTCCTGAAGCTGAGTCCCAGTCAAGGACAGGTTGGCTAGGACAACCTCTTTCTCACCAGCAAAGCAATCCATGTTTTCCTTCCACTGGTTGCATTCGGCCTTAACTTGATCGACTTCCCATCAAAGCTGCCCGATCATGTCCAATTTTTGTTACAGATGATACATTGAAGTGTTAGACTCCACAATTGGGTAAACTAGACCATACTCTTGCAAAACGAGGGTTACCTGTTTGTCTAGCTCGGCCTCATTTTGACGAGCTTTGGCCAAATCTGCGCGTATGTCCTTGAGTTCCTCCTCTTTTTTACTGCAAAAGAGCCTATGGGCCTTCCCTTCATCCGAGGATCTCTTGAGCTCGGCCTCAAATTTGCTCTGTTCAGCTATAAACTTAGCAATGGCCTACACAGGAAAAAGCGATATTTGTTAATGCAGAAGAAGAAGAAGAAGAAAAAATTGGAAACAATAAGAGTTAGTGCTTACTTGAGAGAAGATACGATGAGCCTCTTCGAAGAGGGTAGATGCATCATTGAGGCAGGTGGCATCATCGACCCCAGTAAAAAAATCCTGGAAAGGATCTTCATCGAGGAACTTACTCTGGTCGGGCGTTCGCAGAGCTTGAGCGTCCTTTATTTCCTCCTCAGAATAAGATGGTAGAGGAGGGGGAGTGACCTATTGTCATTGCCCCAAGCAAGTTGCTCGGGGTGGTCTGTTCAGCCTCTAAGTTCTCGGTACTTGCCCCCTTCGGTGTACTTGTTGACGGCGAGGGAATAATCTCGATCTTAGGAGACTCGGTGGCCTTGCCAACATTTTTCTTCAGAGTCTCCTCTTCAGCAGGCAAGGTTTTCGGTTCAAAAGACTTGACCACCTCAGTTGGATTCTTGGTTCTGGTCACCAACGCCGACTCTCCACCCTCGTCCTCTTCTTCGTCATTCAGTTGGTGGATTGAGTCTATGTCCACTTGAATGAGTTTTCTCTTCTGCCTTCAAGCAGGGGCTCACTTATCCTGGTGGTCTTCAGGTTTCGAAGCCCTTTTTCTCTTGTTATCCTTCCCCGATTATGGAAATGGGGGACTCAGCCTCTTCCTCGAATGGGGCTGGCCTCATTTCTGAGGCATCTTCAATACCTACATAAATGAAGAACATACATGAGTAGGGTGATATATTCACTAAAGCATCAAAAACATGCGCAAGGACTTACCTTGATGTTTGGCCTCCCATTTGCCTTTTGACAAATCATGTCATTTGTGCTCATTATACGTGGAGGTCGCGGCTATTTTCTGGACCTAATCTTCGAGGTCATAGATTGCATGGGGCATCCAAGCAACCGCTGCAAAAATGGTAAAGACATCAGTTAGTGAAGTACGTTGGGCTTGTACGCCTTATATGTATATTTTGTTTGGTTGCCAGCGGTTGTAGTTATGATGGCCTTATCGCCCAGCTTTATATTGATGTTTAGTCAACATTAGTTTCTATTCAGCTTTATATTTTGCTTCACAATTTATCTTGCAATGTTGCCTCATGGCCAAAGTATGACATTATATGTTTAGAGTCCCTTAGTCGCAAGTTGGTATGAAAGGTCAGATGAGGCACCGGGTGCCGGTCTCGCCCCCCAGGTTCGTGCCGTGACAATGGAACATTTCATAGGAGGACGTTCGGTGGACCATGGGCGGTATGTTTAAGGCTGGCGGACACCGATTATGTTCTACAAGAAATCCACAAAAGGTACTTGTGGGAATCACTCCGGCGCCGAGTCTTTGATTCGCAAAATTATTAGAACAAGGTATTACTGGGATAACATGGAAAAAAACACTAAGGGGTTTGTTAAATAGTGTGATAAGCGTCAACGGTTTGCAACGATGATTCATCAGCCCGAAGAGCAACTTCACTCAATCCTGTCCCCGTGGCCTTTCATGAAATGAGGAATGGACATTGTTAGACCTCTACCAACTCCCCCAAGTAAAGCTAAATTCATTTTATTTTTTAACTGATTACTTTTTTAAATGGGTGGAAGCACAGGCCTTCGAGAAGGTCAGAGAAATGGAAGTTATTGACTTTATCGGGGATCACATTGTTTGTCGATTTGAGATACCTACCGAAATTGTATGTGACAATGGGAAGCAATTCGTCGGCAACAACGTAACGTAGTTCCTTGAAGCACACAAAATAAGAGGATCTTATCAACACTGTACCACCCGAGCGGGAACAGATAGGACGAATCAACAAACAAAACTATCATTCAAAACATAAAGAAGAGGTTGGATGATGCAAAAGGAAAATGTAGAGAAGTCCTACCTGAGGTTATTTGGGGTATTGAACAATATTGAAGTCCAGCACGGGGGCGACTCCATTCTCATTAGTATACGGCTCCGAGGCCTTGATTCCGATCAACGTCAGGGAACCTAGTGCAAGATTTCGACATTCATTGGAGGTTAAAATCATGAGGCTATGAATACTAGCCTCGAGCTACTAGATGAAAAACGAGAAGCTACACTTTTTCGGATGGTAGGTCAGAAAGAAGAATCGAGAGATATTATAATAGAAGGACTAACCTTCAACATTTCGGAATCGGGGACTTACTTTTACGAAAACTCACCCTCAATACTCTAGACCCGAATCAAGGGAAACTAGGCCCGAATTGGGAAGGATGATATCGAGTCATCAGAGTTGTCGGTAAATGATCTTACAAACTTGGCACGATGGGAGGCTAACAATTGCCTAACAATTGGAATGTATCACTACTCAAACGATAATACTATGGAGGTATGACCTTCTCTTTTTTTCCATTTGAATTTAAAACTAACTCATTACAGGCGTTCGATTGATGATGTCGATCGCACCTTTCTACACGAAGACCTTAGGTTTTAAAGCACGCAATGCACTATTTTTCCCTTAGATCGGATGTTATCCCAAATGGGTTTTTTTAGCGAGGTTTTTAACGAGGCAACAATTATGTGCTACCTAAGAGAATTCAACAGTATCCAAGGCTTCATTTCAATCAACCTCAAATACTTGGGGGCATCACCCTCGGAGGTTATATTTTCGAGGAAAATACTTCATGCCAAAGAGGGAATCGATAGGAAAACTTTGTAATGGGCCAAACGATCAGATGAACCGTGTCCATATAGAATAGTCGAGCCCTAATGGCAAAACTTGTATGCATGTATCATTTATTCAAAGAAGCATTCTTTCTATATCAAAACACTTTGTGTCTCAAAGAAGTCTACTATTATACGAGCTTCATACTTGTAATTCTATGTGAAACAGCTCAAGGGACAAAATGCAAATACACCTCGAATACTTGGGGACTGTCATTGACAGTCAACACATTCGAATATTTAAAACTTGAATTTATAAGACCTAAAAGAGGCATCCCCCGACTCAAAGGACAAGGGCATCATACTCGGGGACTAACCTTTTGGACAAGTTTCAAGGGTTGTCAGGAAACAAGTCTAATAGACGCACCCGAAGGCTACAACCATATTAAAGACTACAGTCATATAAAAAGTCTATGGCCGGAATAATGCAGCTTGGAGATATCCAACTTACGCCATAAGTTAAAGGCCTTCTAATACTTCTAAAAATCGGTTAAATAAGGCTACCCTGGCAAAGCAAATAAAGAAGGGCTTCGATAAAATCAGCCCGTCGAATAATTTAAAGGTTTCAATAATATAAGCCTTCAAAAAGACCTCAAGAGGTATTAAATTATCGTAACACAAATAAATTACAAATGGGGTTCCGATCGATTGAACCCTCGAAAAACCCAATGGGTAAAAAATACATGACGAGGCATAAAGAAATTTTCACTAAGTCTTTTAGCCAAAAAGAGGGAAGAATTATAGCCGTTCGAGAGGCCGAATTGGCCCAACATAAAGAGCCTAAGGGCTAACCTAAAAAGAGCCTAAAGGCCGATGTAAAAGAGCCTAAGGGCTGATGTGGTAAGGTTAAAAGGTCAATACAATTAGAGTTTGAGACCTCGCACTCACTCAATTCAAAACTAAGGGTTCGATTATCCCAAACCTAAAGAAATAATGGTTTGATCATGTCTCGAGCACTTACCATTACCCTGTATGAGCTCGTAAAGGTCTACGCCCAAAATCTTGAACTTATTTGAGCTCGACCATGGCAGTTTCTAAGAAAACATCTGAGATAAAATCTCTAACACACAGTTAAAGAGGATGAAGGGAGGAAATATCAAAATTCTTATTTTATGTATGTTGAAAAAGATATATACAAAGGACCGATAAAGGGTCCTACAAAAAAGAAGAACAACACAAGAAGAAAGGAAATTCCTTTCTATGCCCAGGGTTGGTTTCTCCCTCGAAAGCAGCTTCTTCCCTACTTCTGATGCCTTCTTCATCGTCATTGTCGTTGGAGGAAACAAGGAACTAGGCATCGACCTCTAGTGCTTTTGCTTGGACTATCTCCTCGGTGAGGTCGAAACCTCGAGCATGGATCTCTTCATGGGTCTCCCTCTGAGATTGATACTTGGCCAAATCACTGACCCGTTTCTGCTAGTTAGAGACTTCCCTTAGTTCTATTTGATCAGCCTTGGTATCCTTTAGGTACACAACAATAGTCTTATTAGTTGTGGCCTCCGTCCTCTCGATCTCGGCCCGGGCTTCAACAACCTCAACCCCGATTGCGACAAGTTTAGCCTCGAGCTCATCGATCTACTTGGCTTGGGCCAGATTTTTTACTTTGACTCCCTGAAGCTGAGCCTCAGCTGAGGCCAGGTTGGCTAGGGCACCCTCTTTCTCACTAGCAAGCTGATCCATGTTTTCCTTCAACTGGTTATAGTCAGCCTTAACTTTATCGACCTCCCCTCAAGCTACCTGCTCATGTCCAATTTTTGCTGCTGCTGATACACTGATGTGTTAGCCTCCATAGTTGGGTCAACTAGACCATACTCTTGCAAAACGAGGGTTACTTGCTCGCCTAACTCAACCTCATTTTGACGAGCTTTATCCAAATCTGCTCGTAAGTCCTTGAGCCCCTCCTCCTCTTTATTGTAATGGAGCCTCATGGACTTCCCTTCATCCGAAGATCTCTTGAGCTCGGCCTCATGTTGGCTCAGTTCGGCTCCAAACATAGTAATGTCCTACATAAAAAAAGAGATATCAGTTAATGCTAAAGGAGAAGAATAAATTGGAAACAATAAGAGTTAGTGCTTACCCGAGAGAAGAAACGATGAGCCTCTTCAAAGAGGGTAGATGCTTTATTGAGGTCGGCGACATCATCGACCCCACTATAACAATCCTAGAAAGGATCTTCTTCGATGAACCTACTCGGGTTGGTCGTTCGCAGAGCTTGAGCGTCCTTTATTGCCTCCTAAGAATAATATGGTAGAGGAGGGGAGTGACCTATTGTCATGGCCCCGAGCAAGTTGCTCTAGGTAGTCTGTTCAGTCTCGGGGTTCTCAATACTTGCCTCATTCATTGTACTTGTTGAAGGCGGGGGAATAATCTCAATCTTAGGAGACTTGGGGGCCTTGCAAGCATTTTTCTTCAGAATCTGCTCTACACGAAGCAGGGATTCCAGTTCAGAAGACTTGACGACCTCAGTTGGCTTCCTGGTTCGGGTCACCAACGCTGACTCTTCGCCCTCGTCCTTTTCTTCTTCATTTAGTTAGTGGATTGAGTCTATGTCCAGTTGATTGAGTTTCCTCCTCTGCCTTCAAGCAGGGGCTCTCTTATCCTGGGGGTCTTCGGGTTTCGAAGCCCTTTTCCTATTGTTATCTTTCCCCGATTTTGGAAATGAGGGACTCAGTCTCTTTCCCGAACGGGGATGGCTTCATTTTGGAGGCATCTCCAATACCTACATGAATGAAGAACAGGTATGAGCAGGGTGACATATTCACTAAAGAATAAAAAACATGGGCGAAGGACTTAGCATAATGTTTGGCCTCCCATTTGCCTTTCGACAAATCACGTCATTTGCGCTCATTTACATGGAGGCCACGGCTAATTTTTGATCCCAATCTTTGAGGTCGTGGATCGCATGGGGTATCCAAGCAACCACTGCAAAAAAGGTAAAAACATTAGTTAGTGCAGTACGTTGGGCTTGTAGGCCTTATATGTATTTTTTGTTTGGTTGTCAACTGATGTAGTTATGACGGGCTTATCGCCCAGCTTAATATTGATGTTTAGTTAGCATTAGTTTCTGTTCAGCTTTGTATTTTGCTTCACAATTTGTCTTGCAATGTTTCCCCATGGACAAAGTATGACATTATATGTTCAGAGTCCCTTAGTCACAAGTTGGTACACAAGGTTAGGTGAGGCACCGGGTGCCGATCTTTCCCCTCAGGTTTGTGTCGTGAAAAAGGAACATTGTATAAGAGGACGTTCGATGGACCATTGGCGGTATGTTTAGGGCCGAGGGACACCGATTATGTTTTACGAGAAATCCACAAAGGTACTTATGGGAATCACTTCGGCGCCGAGTTTTTCATTCGCAAAATTATTAGAATATGGTATTATTGGGATAGCATGGAAAAAGACACTAAGTAGTTTGTTAAATAGTGTTATAAGTGCCAATGGTTTTCACCGATGATTCATTAGCCCGGAGAGCAAATTCACTCAATCCTGTCCCCGTGGCGTTTCATGAAATGAGGAATGGACATTGTTGGCCCTCTACCAACGGCCCCAGGTAAAGCTAAATTCATTTTTTATGATTGATTAATTTTCTAAATCGGTGGAAGCACAGGCCTTCGAGAAGGTCAGAGAAATGGAAGTTATTGACTTTATTGGGGATCACATTATGTGTCAATTCAGGATACCTACAGAAATCGTATGTGACAACGTGAAGCAATTCATCGGCAACAAGGTAACATAGTTCCTCTAAGAACAAAAAATAAGAGGATCTTATCAACACCGTAACACCCAAGTGGGAACAGACAGGCCGAATCAAAAAAACAAAACTATCATTCAAAACTTAAAGAAGAGGTTGGACGATGCAAAAGGAAAATGGAGAGAAGTTCTACCTGAGGTTCTTTGGGGTATTGAACATCATCGAAGTCTATCATATAGGTGACCCATTCTCGTTAGTATACGGCTCTGAGGCCTTAATTTCGGTCGAGGTTGGTGAACACAGTGTCAGATTTTGACATTCATTGGAGGAGTCAAATCATGAGGCTATGAGTACTAGCCTCGAGCTACAAAAATGAGATACTACACTTGCTAGGATGGCGCGGCAGAAAGAAAGAATCGAGAGATATTATAATAGAAGGACTAACCTTCGACACTTCGGAATCGAGGACTTAGTTCTACGAAAAGCCACCATCAATACTCGAGACCCGAATGAAAGGAAACAAGGCCCGAATTGGGAAAGACCATACCGAGTCATCGGAGTTGTTGTTAAAGGATCTTACAAACTTGGAACGATGGGAGGCTAACAATATCCTAACAATTGGAATGTATCACTACTCAACGATATTACTACGGAGGTATGGCCTTCTCTTTTTTTCCATTTGAATTTAAAACTAACTCATTGCGAGCGTTTGATCGAACATGTCGATGGCACCTTTCTACACGTAGACCTTAGGTTTTAAAGCACACAATACACTCTTTTCCCCTTAGATCGGATGTTATCCCAAATGGGTTTTTCCAGCGAGGTTTTAAACGAGGCAACAATTATGTGCTACCTAAGGAGAATTCAACAGTATTCAAGGCTTCTTTTCAAATCAACCTCGAATACTTGGGGGAATCACCCTCGGAGGTTATATTTTTGAGGAAAATACTTCATGCCAAAGAGGGAATTGATAGGAAAACTTTGTAATGGTCCAAATGATCAGATGAATCGTGTCTACATAGAATAGTCGAGCCCCAGTGGCAAAACATGTACGCATGTATCATTTATTCAAAGAAGCATTCTTTCTATATCAAAACACTTTGTGTCTCAAAGAAGTCTACTATTATACGAGCTTCGTACTTGTAATTCTGTGAGAGACAACTCAAGGGACAATACACAAATACACCTCGAATACTCGGGGAATGCCATCGACAGTTGCACATTCAAATATCTAAAACTCGAATTTATAAGACCTAAAAGAGGCATCCGCTGACACAAAGGGAAAGGACACCATACTCGGGGACTAACCTTTTGGACAAGTTTGAAAGGTTATCAGGAAACAAGTCTAATAGACGCACCCGAAGGCTACAACCATATTAAAGACTACAGTCATATAAAAAGTCTACGACCGGAGTAATGCATCTCGGAGATGTCCAACTTACGCCATAAGTTAAAGGCCTTCTAATACTTTGAAAAACTAGTTAAATAAGGCTACCATCGGCAAAGAAAATAAAGAAATGCTTCAATAAAATCATCCCCTCGAATAATTTAAAGGTGTCGATAATATCAGCCTTCGAAAAAGCCTTCAGAGGTATTAAATTATCGTAACACAAACAGATTACAAATGGGGTTCCGATCGATTAAACCCTTGAAAAACCCAATGGGTAAAAAAAATACAGGCAAAGGCATAAAGAAATTTTCACTAAGTCTTTTAGCCAAAAAGAGGGAAATATTATAGTCGTTCGAGAGGCCGAATTGGCCCAACTTAAATAGCCTAAGGGCCAACCTAAAAAGATCCTAAAGGCCGAAATAAAAGAACCTAAGGGCCGATTTGGTAAGGCTAAAAGGTCAATACAATTAGAGTTTGAGACCTCGAAGGCACTCAATTCGAACCCAAGGGTTCTATTATCCCAAACCTAAATGAATAATGGTTTGATCATGGCTCGAGGACTTACCATTACCTGGTATGAGCTCTAAGAAAACATATGAGATAAAATCTCTAACACATAGTTAAAGAGGATGAAGGGAGGAAATATCAAAATTCTTCTTTTATGTATGTTGAGAAATATATATACAAAGGACCGATAAAGGGTCTTACAAAAAAAAAGAACAATACAAGAAGAAAGGAAAATCCTATCTATGCCCATGGATGGTCTCTCCCTCGGGAGCAGCTTCTTCTTTGGGGCCAGTTTCATCATCAGACCCGCTTTGAATGCCTTCATCATCGTCATCGTCGTTGGAGGAGTCGAGGAACTTGGCATCGGCCTCAAGTGCTTTTCCTTGGGCTATCTCTTCGGTGAGTTCGAAACCTCGAGAATAGATCTCTTCTACGGTCTCCCTCCGGGATTGATACTTGGCCAAATAACTGATCCGTTTCTCCTGGTTGGAGGCTTCCCTCAGTTCCATTTGAGCATCCTTGGTATCCTTTAGGTACACAGCAATAGTCTTATTAGTCATGGCCTCCGTCCTCTCGAACTCGGCCCGGGCTTCAACAATCTCAGCCCCGGTTATGGCAAGTTTAGCCTCGAGCTCATCGACCTTCTTGGCCTGGGCCAGATTTTTTACTTTGATTCCTCGAAGTTGAGTCTCTGCTGAGTCCAGGTTGGCTAGGCAGCCTCTTTCTCACCAGTAAGTCGATCCATGTTTTCCTTCAACTAGTTATAGTCGACCTTAACTTGAGCGACCTCCTCTCGAAGCCGCCTGTCCAATTTTTGCTGTTGCTGATACACTGAAGTATTAGCCTCCACAGTTGGGTCAACTAGACCATACTCTTACAAAACGAGGGTTACTTGCTTGTCTAACTCGGTCTCATTTTGACGAGCATTAGCCAAATCTTCTCGTAAGTCCTTGAGCTCCTCCTCCTCCTTTTTACTGTAAAGGAGCCTCATAGACTTCCCAACTACGAGGATCTCTTGAGCTCGACCTCATGTTGGCTTAGTTTGGCTCCAAACTTAGTAATGGCCTACGCAGAAAAAAGAGATATTAGTTA